AAGGGGCTGCTGGGACCACTTAGGGTTTGTGCACTTTATCAACCAATCAATTTTAATTCCCATCCTCAATTATATTATAAGTACTGCATGTGCTAAACAAGATGGCAAGGGTCTGCTAGTTGAATAATAAGCTTTACTGAAAGTTCTAAGATTGTGATGGATTCGGAAGAATTGAAACCATCACTACTTCTACTCAAGTCTCTCTATTTTTGTTCCCTGAAAAATGTGTTTACCTGCCGAATTGTTTTGTTTGCTGTCTTGCAAAGTTGAAATTGCTGACAACTGGATGAATAACCCTTTCATCTCAAGACTCAAGTTTTCAACATTATATGTGCCTATTTCTTGGGAGCATTAGAATCAAAGACAAACTAACCGTCCAACGCAACATACTAAGTTTTTCCTTGAGACACAACCTTACATTTCGCATGCATAATGTAACTTCTGACAGGATACCGAGCTGCTGTGAGGATAAGAAATAGGATTACTATTCAACCAGTTTTGGAGAGAGAAAAGGTTATACGAAGGCCTTGTCATTGGAGGAAAACATGGTCGCGACACTAGAAGCCATCAAAGGTGGGGGAGGATCCATCAAAGTGGGAACGACTGGGAAAATTAGTGCCTTAATGTCAAGGGAATTAGAATCTGCAAAGTCTACGCCCCAAACTCCTGTATCATCTAGGAACAAATCTCTTATAGACTCAAATGCGGTTCCTAATGATCCTATTACCCCTAGAAGACTAAAACCAAGAACATCAATGGATGAAGCAAGCAGCAGTGGTAGTAGCAGCACCGTCAATAAGAAAAGCCCTGAAACAGTCCGGAAAACAAAACACTACAATCGGAAAACCCATCAAGTACCAATGCTCAACTCTGACAATGTTTCCTTGGATGGAACGCCTGTTAGAGGGAAACCTGCTAAAAGAGGATCTTACAATATAGTTGAAATTGTGAACATAAAATGCGGTAGCCCGGATAGGACATGGACCGGCCCAATAACAAATCGACTCAAGAAGCTCAGTTTCTCTAAGCTTTCTGAGAGCGTTGTCTGAGGCTGTGTTTGGATCGTGGATTTGATGAGTTTACAAATGAAAACAATTGACTAGATGTCTTTTCCTTTACCTTTTCTTTTCCTCCAGAATCCCCCCCGGTAAATCCACGATCCAAACACAGCCTAAGCCTGCAACTGCTTCACATCAGCTTTGAGATTCCTGTAATTGAACCCAGAAATTATATCCGGCCGGGTGCTCTCTGCAACTTCAACCAAAGAACACATACTTGGTATGAACTTGCTTCCACCTGTCTTCTTCCTTTTTGGAGTAGTGACCAATGATCCAAGCTTTGGTCTAGAGTGATCGCTCTTGGAGGCCATACTTCTGAATTGACAGCGAGACTTCTCCAATTTGTCTCGACAGCCCAATTCAAGCTGGCTAAAGCACTCGATCTCTTTCATCATAAGGGATGCAAAGGTCCCTCTGGTTCCTATTTCAGCAGGAATTCTTGTTGCTGTTTTCTCAGGGACGGGCGTGGCTAAAGTGAAGGATTTGTACATCATTTTCTCTCCGGTTGGAGGGAATGCGGAGGCTTGCGGATGAAGAGAGGAGGCTCTGAGTCTTGGCTTGGAGTGCAAATTGCTTTGAGTTTCTGGCATTTTGTTTCTCCTTTGGCCTTGTCTCTATGAATTCCTCACCTTATAATCGACACAAAGTGAAGTGCAGGGTAATTACAGGACTCATTGTATTCATGTGGTTGCAGTTAAAACAGTTGCCTAACTTTTGGACCACCTCTAACACTTAGGTCTCCAATTATGAATCTATGATCCCTTTTTCGCTATCCTTTTTATCTTTTTTCTGAACCTTTTCTCAATGTTGATCGTGGAATAATTTTTGCATAAATGGTCCAGAGCATGCTCTATCTCCACCTGCTTTTCTTAATGTTGATACAAAAATGGGATTGCTGTTGGACCTAATATTTCATGAGGGGGCCCAAATGGACAATTGTGTAATCATCAGGTACCAGGATTTGATATGTTACCAAAAGTGAAAGATTTTATCTTTCCCTTTGGATTTTTTAATAACCAAATGTCTGTGTCAGCTTTTGCACACCTCGACTAATTCCGAAGGCCCCGAAGATCTTTCCTTGTGGATTGACAGTAGACTGATAACTTGTTTTCATTGCCTTAAGGCTCTGTTTGGAACCTAAGGAAAGGAAAAGAAAATAAAATAAAATGGAAGGAAAATGAGAAGAAAATGGGAAGGAAAATTTACTATTCACAAAACTGAAAATTGTTATTTTCCTCCCCTTTTCTCTTCAAACCAAACAATGGAAAGGAAAATTTTTTAGTTTTCCTTTCTTTTTCTTTCCTTTCCTTTCCTCGGGTTCCAAACAGACCCTAAATGGTAAGGGAAAGCAAGGATGTTTGGCGGTGCAACTCTTAAGTGTTTTTCAGGTGGTGGGAAGAAGTGGGTGGAATATTTGTTGGTTCCTTTTATTGCAATTTCAATTTTTTGTTCTGCTTTTTTTCCCCCATCCCTTTTTCAGAAAAGGAAGGAGTCATGGGAAGGATATGAGGGACACTCTTTACATGCACATCATGTGTATTTCATAATGGCGTTTTTATTGCAACACTGAAAATATGGGCGAGAAGCTATTTTGATGGGCACGGTACTCTCCTACTCATGGATTTTTTCGTCGCGAATCGCGACTTATCTTTTTCGGATTTCCTTCTACCAAATGCTGAAGGTGATGTGTGTAAACAGTTTACAGCATTTCATCAGGCCTCCACTCAAAGGCGGTATATATGAGCATTGTTTTATATTGTTGTAAATGTGTCTTGGCTGAGCTGATACTGTTTTCTGGGTGAGTAAGCTGATATCAGCGTCATCTAAAGCCAGAGCCTCACAATCCCGATCTTGCTAACGAATCTGCAACAGCATTTGCCGACCTTTGAATGAACCGAAGTTCGCGCCCCCTCATGGTATACATTACCCTTCTTATTTTTTTCGGAGTGAAACAAAGTGCTGGACTGGGAAAACTAAAACTAAACCAATGCCTACTCTCCGTTTGAGATGTTTGAAAACGTAGATTTTTTCATTTTAATTTCCTACTATAAAGCCAAGTTGAAGAAAATGACTTTCAAAAAAATGAACCCCAACAGGTTGGCCAAGTGATCTTGGCATAAACCTTGGAGAGCTTGTTTGCTCGGAGAGCTTGCACCCTCCTAAAGCTCGTGTTTAATTCTCATTGTGAAACGATTGTGGGAGGGGCTGTAAGAATTGGTTCGAGATGCGCGTAAACTGACCCGAACACTCTGCATAAGAAGCCTTTCAAAAAACTTAGAACACCCAAAAAATAGAAAAACTACTGGTACAACAGTACGCGCATAGACAGCGCGTATAGCGCACTTTTTGACCCGTCTCGGGTTTGAAAAAGATAATCAGAACCGTTGATTTTGTTCAATATATTTTGCTTAAGGTTCCTGTAAAAAATAAGCTCCATCCAACATCGATAAAGGCGTTTCCAAAACGTCCAAAGTTGCTTCAGAAGTTAGGCTCAATTCTGAAGTGATTTTGGACGTTTCGGAAATGCCTTTATCGATGTCGAATAGAGTTTATTTTTTACGGGGACCTTAAACAAAATATATTGAACAAAATGAGCGGTTTCGATTATCTTTGTTGGATCCGAGAAGAGCCAAAAAGCACACCTTACGCGGTGTGTCTACTGTACCAGTAGCAGCTCTCCCAAAAAAAAAGGTAGTGGGTGAGAAGCTTGCTCTCATATCAGAGCCAGGTTTCGATCCTGGGACCTGTGGGTTATGGGCCCACCACGCTTCCGCTGCGCCACTCTGATTGTTGGTACTACCGTCCCCTAAACAAATATATATACTGATGCTTTGAAATACTATCGGCTTGGATGATAAAAGAGAGTGGCGATAAGAGTTCTCGTTGCTCTGAAACTCCAACCATGGCCTCAATCACCTGCACTACCCAACTAATCTTCGCCTCTCAGGCCCCCAAAATTTCATCCTTTTCATCTTGGTCAGCTCCAAATTTGCCCAGATTAAGGTATCAATTTGTGGGCAAAGGTCCAAAGAAGCTCAGAAATAGACCCACCAAGAATGGTTCCAGAACCATCACATGTTGGTTCAAATTTGGCCAGAATGGTGTTGATGCCGAAGGTGCTGGGATTTACGGCAGCCAATCTCGAGACGACTACGACCGCGACGATGTCGAGCAAGTACTCTGCTTACTCTTATCTGTAAACGATGTTTTTCTTGTGTTGTGGTTTAATGGAGCTTTTATCTTTCTGAATTTTTGCTGCGGTTGCTGCATTCTGTTTGTGATTAGTAGGAATTTCACAGTTTCAAAATTACAATTACTTGCCTACTTGGTGGAATTGCTGCAATTTTATAGGAGGAATAGGTGCAGACTACATAAATTTGTGATTTTTTTGATTAACTCGGGGCGTCCGGCCAGCCTACGCGCACCTAGACTAATCCCTAGGACCCAATAACACCGTCCACTAGCGGAAGTCCAATTAAGGCCCTGTTTGTTATCACTTATAAGTTAGATTATTAAATTATGCTTATTTTGATTATTCACTTAAAACACTGAAATTAAGTTGGTGATGTGTTTGGTATAGCTTTTGATAAGCTAAAATAAAATTTCAGACTGTTTGTTGAATAAGTTGTAGAATAGCTTATTATCAAGTAAATGTCTAGATTAACCTTAATACTTTTATTTAGAAACACTCTTGAATAAGTACTATTCTGTAAAATGTACTTTTACAACTTCGAATAAGCTAAAAATCGAAGCTTAAAATAATCTCACTTTTTCCGGTCAGATAAGCTAGAAAAGCTAAATAAGTGATTATTCATAATTGATACCAAACACCACTCATCAACTTTTTTAAGCAAATAAGCTAAATAAGTTGGATTATAAGTGCAAGCAAACGGGGCCTAATCCATAACATAGACCCGTATGGACTGGCCCCATAAGAGTTGACACTTGTGATTGGGAAGTTTCGAACCTGAGACCTTAGGAGGGAGCAATTCCTAAGTCCCAAGCCCTGACCATTAGGCTACATAAATTTGTGATGACTTAATCCCTGAATTAGATGTTTGGAGGTAGTTTCTTGTCTTCAAATAAAAAACTAGAATCTTAGACATAGTTTCTGGGCCTATCAGAGCAACATTGGTATTGATTTCAATAGAGCTTTGGCACTGATCCAGTAGAAGATACTTCATGTGGCGTAATACAAACTATCATGTTTTAATTATCGGGAAATACGTATAAATTTTCTTGGCCTCTCCATACGATTACATTCCAGAATACTGTCGAGATTGGTAGTCGATTTTTTTACAGGATATTCCCAATATGTATTAGCTCATGGCAAATCATAATCAGATTCAAAGCTGATATGGTGAATTCACGGCTGATACAGCTGATTCGGTTGCCCTAAAACCCCTTGTTGGCACTGATTACTCTAAAAATGTCATTAACACGAAAACAAAATTCTTAGTTGTCAAAAAAAATAAATTTTCTATACATATCAAACTATCACTTAACAAAATATGTGATGTTCGACCAGGTTTCTAAGCTTGTTACTGGAGCTTATTGTTATTGTGATGATGTCATAAACAGCTTTCCAAGTCCTACTTACTGGCTATTGGAGAGGTATTTGTAACAGATTTGGGGATGTAAGTGAGAGTGTCTTGGTGGAAACAGCCAATTTTCTGTTTGACAGCTTATGTCATCACACTCTGCAAGCTTGAGAGTTACCAGCTAGCCAAAACTGGATTTTGTGTTTATTCTGGCTGTGTTCTTGTATAATGGATAATGGGCTCTGATTTCGTGGTTTATTTACCTTCTTTCAATCCTGAGCCTCCAAAACTTTTACCTTTCGAAACCCTTCGAAGTATATAACCATATATGATCCTGCTTTGGCAAAAACTTGACCATTGAGCTTCTTGTTTCCCATACGAAATTGTTTAGCAGGAAGTTAGTTTGAAAGCAGTGAAGACCCATAAACTTTAGCAATGAAGTGTCCTCAATGTAGCATTAATGCATCGTTCTATTTAAGATCCGCTCTCCATCAGGACGTAGTGTTGGTGCATTTTGGACACATTTCTTTAGAAAATTAACTGGCATCTCTCTCGTGGTTTATAGTTTAGTATGTCCAACTTGGGCCTTACTGGGCATGGATCCGGCAAAATATTTTCCCCAATTCTTGTTAATCGATGCGATTTTCATTAGCAGTAAAAGATTTGTTTTCACCCAATGCAGTACTTCAACTACATGGGAATGCTTGCTGTTGAGGGTACTTATGACAAGATGGAGGCTCTTCTGAGCCAAAACATGCACCCAGTAGATATCTTGTTGATGATGGCTGCCTCTGAAGGCGACAAGCCCAAACTTGAGGAGCTACTAAGAGCTGGAGCTAATTACACTGTCAAAGATGCAAATGGATTGACTGCACTTGACAAGGCAGCTAATGATGAAATTAAGGATCTTATCCTTGGGTTTTCACCTCAGAAGGCATGATATATCAAGAGCTTTGTAACAATTCTGTATTCGTTTCGGATTCTTTGTTTTAGTAGTTGTTTTTGTCCTCTTAGTGAGTTCTCAGATTTTGAGATATGAATCTTTCCATCATAAGTAGTAATCTTTTCTCTCAGCTGTTGTTTCATTTCTCAAAAGCTCAGTCAACTGGGATGCCCTGGGATAGTTTAGTTATTCCATCAGTTTTGGAAAAAATGATCACAAAATGTTAAAGAAATCTAGTTTCGACTGCTGGATTATGATTTCAGCTAACGGCAAATAATATCGTAGCCAACATCTTTTAAGGTTTGTCAAAAAAAAAAAAAAATGCTCTAAGGTTATATTTATTTGTATCATGAATTTGTGAAGACTGGAAAATGACATTCATGATCAAAAAAAGAAAAGAAAATGACATTGAAAGTAAAACCATATCATTCACTTCACTATCTTCTTATCCTTTCTTTTACCTTAACCTTTTCCTCTTCTCTCATTATAGCATACCACCCCTTGATAAATCAGTATCAAGTTGAAATTCGAAGAGAGCACGGCGAACTGGGTAAGAACCCGATACTTCAAAATTTTCTTTTGCCAATCTTGTCAGTTCAGCAAAGCAAGATTATTAACAGAAACGGAAGATAGCACGACATCGTACTAGACAACCAATGAAATTAAAATGCTTGTAACTTCGAAGTGTTCAAAATAGGCTATCCTTCAAGTTTCCCCCAGTAAATAGACTGAAAAATGGATCTTCTTTGCTATCACCATGGCTCTCTGTTCCCTTGATCTGAAGTCCCGAAACGTTTGTTGTTGATGTTGCTGGCTTTTTCACTGATACGAAGGCCACTTTACTCGTTGAACCAGATTTACGTTTTAAAGGATTTGAACCCGGAGAACTCAAATCCATAAGCAAGCCACTTTCAGAGTTCAGGTTCTGGATTAGAGGTTCCACAAAACCTGAAACATCTTCCACTTTTGAACTATCTTGAACCTTCTTCATGTCATCGTTCTCAATTGAACTAGGATTATCCAGCTCAATGTGAGCATGACCTTCAGAAATATCGGTAGGATCTGCCTTGCCAGATTCGTTATCTATAGAGTCCAATAATAAAAGGATTTAAAATATGCAATAAATAAATAACAAAGAATCAAAATGAAAAACAGTTGACTACATGCGAATTAGGTGAATAAGAATGACAGAACGAAATGCAGGAACCTTTCCTCTCCTTGCCATTGCGGGTCAAGAATAAGTGAAAGCATGTTTCTCTCCATAAAAACGGTGTGATCAGAGATGTGAAGCGGGAGATAAGGATAGTCATTACTGGCCTTTAGAATAAGATGGCCTTCGCATTTTCCGTTTCTTTTCCGTATTGAAAATGCAATAAGAATGAGGGGTGTTAAGCCTTTTATCGTTTACTACTTATGCGAGATCCATTGGCTAACTACATGAAAATAGTGTAGCTCGTCCTACTGGAGCCTCCACTTCAAATAAAACACAAGCGAGATCTCTAACCATAATAGTGGAATTCTTATGGCTAGTATGTATTCACAAGGTTATGCGATGGACCGTGGTATACTACGATGTGGATAAAATTCATTGTCAACACGTCGAAGAAAGCTGAGTCACAGTACTCCAACAGTGAAGGTTGAAAAGAACATTCTTACCACCAAGCAAAACCTCAATGCTTTGATACTGAATGGCAGATGGCCCTATGGATATTTCTCTAACATTGTTCTCTCGACGTTCAGTCTTACAGTTGGTGGATCTCTCACGTAATACAAACTTATCTGTTTCCCACACACAGTCAAGTAAGACAGATTGCTCATTCATCGGGTAGTACTCTCTAAATACCTGAAAGTTAACATCCAAGGAAGGTCAAAAACAAAAAGTTGTCAGCCAAAGGGAAAAGAGAGGGATCAATCTACACCAAACACATTCAGTTAACAAACGCATTCAGTTAACAATAGAGAAGCAACCTCAATTCCGTCCTGAGTTAATTTTACAGATTGCTCCTTCTGAGAGAGAGAAAAAACCATGGTGAATACTGTTACAGCATCAAGTAATATCTGTAAACAAATAAAAGAACAGATTCAGTCAGAAAAAAAATTAAACTAAAGTCTCATTCCCACAAGTATTATATCACCTGCAGGCCTGTAAGTAAAGGATGACATAACTTTACAAATGTTTCACTAGAAAGAGAATAATGCTTACTTGCTGAACCAAAACTCGGAGGCGTGCAAGCAAAGCCAAAGTTGTTAGACAAAATCCCATGAAAAATGATTGAGCGAGTAAAGTAGAAATCTCTCTGTGGACAGTTAAGGTGTGAAAACACTTCATGCATGCCTTGAGAAATACCCACACGATCCCAGCAACAATTTATGAATGGTAAAAACCACCATCCTGGCCCTATTGTCCAACTTAGCAAAAGAAAGGCAGAGCAAAAACAAGGACGTCCAGAAGTAAAATGTCGTGTTATGTTTACAAAGGCTGAAAAAGCAAAGAAAGTAAAATTCCCAATGAGATTTCTTAAGATCCCCATCAAAAGGAGATTTAAAAGGTCAATAAACTTGGTAGTCTATTTTTCAGATACTTAAAAAACCCTCCAAAAGGAACCACAACTACCAAACCTGAATGAACTATGGGATAAGGTGGCATCTCTTAGGAAACATATTCTGAGGGAGAACTATAGTGCTGTAAATCTCAGTGGTAACTATCTCATATTCTTGCCAAATATGAGGAAGGTATTGCATAAGATCTTCCAAAACTTTTGAAGAGCTTATAACCAGAGAATGCTGATGCATAGAAGAAATAACTCAATGATGGGGATAAAAGCTCAAAAATGAAAACTGTCATAGCTCTTATTAGGCTCTTAAATACAAATATACTATAGCAGTAAGATCATTTGAATGTAATAATTACCCAGCAGCTAAACATTTCGTAGATTAACAATCGAGAGAAGGATACGTAGCTGCCTTCAACATTGGCTCTACCATCTGCAATAGAAATAGAAAAAATTAGGAGGTAACTCCCGCAACCTGCTGCCTGCCCTAATACCATGATGGCCTTGGCACTAGTCAGAGAGGAAAATTTCTATTGGACCTAGTGTTATACTCCGACAGACTACAACAACAACATAACAACATAACATAACCCATCTAGTCCCCAATCATTGAGGGTATGGGCGGGGGATGATTGGAGACAGACCTAACCTTTGGCAATATATGCACAAAGTGGCTGCTCTCAGAATACCACTGAAATAGTGGCCCCCCTAAACCTCCAAGAACCGAGGAGATACAGGGACGTTTTGTTGTAGAACCATGCCCCTAAATCAAAGTCAAATGGCATCAGAGAGGGCAGGCCTAGACACCCAAATCAATTTTTGTGCACATTACCATGCTTCCTTCATTGATACATCGGTATGCACACAAACAATACAGTCTCTGCAAAGTAAATAATGACCACATCTGCCTAGGCATCTAAAGAAACATCTTGATTCCACTTTTAACACCAATGAACACAGCAAATAAAACAAGTATTTCAGGTAAGGTTAAA